TTCTCTCTCTCTCTCTCTCTCTCTCTCTCTCTCTCTCTCTCTCTCCCGCTTCCTCCGTACCTACCTCCCTCTGTTCCTCCCTCCCTCCCTCTCCCTCTCTCTCTCTCTCCATCTTGCAGGAGCCCAGGCCACTTCATTAATTTAATTTATAAAACAATATATTAAGTGAACACAGAACATTAATTCATTGATAAGCTAACTATGTTATGCGAACACAAGTTTTGGTACATGTCCTGGCCTTTTTTCCTTTCTGAGTAGAAGCAGTGGGCTTCCTCTTATTTTCTCTGGAAGAACATCTAATTATTTAAGCAAGTTACCAATCAACAAGGTCTTCATCTGCAGCCACCATACAGAGAAGAAAGCAGTTGGCTGTTGACACTCCTGTCTCCTGTCCTTTCCCTTTGAGTGGCAGCAATTGTGGCTCTTAGAAATAGCATTTGCTACCCATTTGCTAAGGATGGGTTGGGAGAGCTGTTACCAATATTGTTCACTCTTTATTCAGTGGGGAAAGGAAGAAGAGGAAGAAAGCATGTGGGATGGCATATTGCCAAGGATCCTTCAAAATCTTGAGCTAGTCCTGGTTGCCATAGAGATTCTCATTTTATATCTGCTTTTTATTGTTGTTGCTTTCTAAAAATGAGGATTATAGTAATAACATAGATGGTGAATTGTACAAAAATATCCAGTCATTCCATTATGTAAAGCTATAGTTAGACAGCGTTGCTCTCAAAGCAATTTTTTCACTACCAAATCTCCATTTTCTTTTTTGTACTCCAGTTCTATTAAGTTATTTGTTTGATTCACCTCTGCAGCTTTCAATAATATTCCTCCTTCTCTGGTAGGTATAGAATATATATATTCTATACCTACCAGACAAAACAAATCTTAAAATAATGACATTAGCAGTCTGAACCCTGAGATGGCTTCATTGGATGAAGTTTCCCCACAATAACTAATACTCATCAGGGATATACTGTAGAATGTGGGAAAGAAGTCTGAATTTAAATAACTGAAATATGTCCGCAAAATGTTGGAAATGTAATCAAACTCTAGGTACTTATTATCATATGTGGTGGACTTGCATGAAAGCAAGAAATATTGGATGAAAATACATATCATATTTTTCAGAGTATAATACACTGTTTGCTGCAAGGACGCTAGCCAGATGAATAACAATGGATGCTGATAAGGCCAGAAGAGGAGGAGGGAGCTGGAAGATGGCTGTCTGGAGCTCTACCACCATAGGCCTTATGAGGGCTGAAAAAGCCAAGTGAGAAAACTTTCTGACAATGAGAATGAGAACAACTAACCAGTGGGCCGTTGTCGTGGTTAACCCTCCCTCTTGGTCGTCCTCGTCATCGTTGTCCCTGGCTAGGAAGCTGAGCCAGCTTTGCGAGGGACCGAGAGAGAGAGGGAGCGCCAGGACCGTGGTCGATGGCGGGCCACCGCCGCTGTTGGGTCCTAGAGCGAGCCCGCCCACCACTTTGTCCCCACCACCGCCGTGCAGAGGGCCGCCTATCTGGGCTTCCTGCGCTGCTTCCAGGCCCCCGCAGAGGAGGAGGACGAGGAGCTTGGCCCGCCCCAACTGCCGCCAGCTGCCCCAACTGCCTCGGACTCGTACTTCCCCGCGGGGCTCAGACGAAGGCCCAGTCTCGGGCCAGGCTGTGGGAGGCAGCGGAGGAGAGCCCCATACTGGAGTTGGAGACCCGGAAAACACTGACCTGAGCTCTCCCCCAAGTGGTCGATAACGCCCCCTGCTTGGAGGTTCCCCTGCTGCAGTTAAGGGACTTTTTGGGGACAAGACTGTCTCCACTGAAGCCCCCCTTGAGACACCTCGCCCTTCCTTCTCTGTTTGGAGCGTCGGAAGCCTCAGTGCTGCCTCTCAAGCTAGTTTCTCCCAAGTGGCAGACTTGGCTGATAACAATGGGGGGACTGGCCAGGCACCCAGGTTGCAGATCTGCCTCTATCTCAGTTCAGCTCCCCTCCCACCTCCCTCCCCCTCCTTTTCTTTTCTCCCTCCCTCACTTTATTCTCCCTCCCTCTTTTCCTTCCTTCCTTCCTTCCTTCCTTCCTTCCTTCCTCTCCCCTCCCGCCCTCTCCCTTTCAGGACATTCAATTTTTTACCATTCTTAAATTAATTTAATTGCCATCTATTTAGGAACTGCATTTTTAGCCGGTTTGCTGGGTGTATGAGTGTATGAATGTGAGAGAAAATGTGCCCACTTTTAATTTAATTTATTGTATTTTAATAA